GCCACGTTTGTTATGAAAGACGTACCTCTCCACGCCCCCTGTCATGTGCATCCACCTTCTACTCTTTTAGCTTAATATTAATAATTCTATATTTACTTGCATGCTTTTAACTATTAGGCTTGTATTGCTCCTTCTTCATTTTTCCATGTTTGGATTTTGACTTCTCACCACAAAAGTTAAGGATTAAGTTCTATTTCCTCTTTCTGCATCTCCATCACACATGGCACCTTTCCCCAAAGCCCATTCTTCCATGTTATTATTTTGTTTCCAATGTATATTATCTTTGTTAAATAAATACTCAGCATTTACAGAGCCACAAATAAAGTTACTTTCTTCTCTTATACAAGATTTTATTTTCTTTAAGGTTAATAATTGCATAATACTTTAATTTGCTTAGTTTTCTAGGTATCTGTCATGAGTCCAACTCTCAAAATCTACTTCCAAGGTTTAAATCTCCTCTTAAGGCTTCAGATTCAGCTAGAATTTTGTCGACTTTATTTTTCTAAAGCAGTAATTCCCAAAGATTTCTGACCAACTCCAACTGGGACTAGTCGTTGTCTGTGCTTAATGTTGTCTATGTCTAACATAACTACCATTCTGGGCTCTTCCTTTCATCATCGTCCTGTGATTTTTCTCCTTGTCCCCTCATATTTGATATTTATTGTGTTTTCTGTATTTCATGATACCCTTATTGTTGGTTTAGCCCCTCATTTTGTGGGTCATGTATCCAGAATCTTCCTGCAAAAGGGTGCATGAGAGGTACTTTTTTTTTTTTTTGAGACTTAGCATGTCTGAAATTGTCTTTATTCTATTCACACCCTTTGCTGAGAGTTGGCTAAGTGTGTAATGCTAAATTGGAATTAATTTTCCTTCAGAATTTTGAAGGTGGCCCATTGCAATGGGACCACCGAGGCAACTGAATCTAGGGAACTCTATTGCTCCTTAGATTCCAATGTTGCTAGTGAGTAATGTGAAGCCATTCTGATCTTGGAGTCTTTATAACCTGGAAGCATGTGGGATCTTTATCTCCAATGTTCTGAAAGTTCACAATGATGTGTTTCATATGAATCTGTCTTCATCTTTCTTCTGGGTGCTTCATAGGATCTTTCAGTTTGATAACTAATATCCTTAAGAACTGGAAAACCTTCTTGAATCATTTATTATTCCTTTCCTTTTTGGGGGGGAAGGATGTTATTGTTGTTCTCTCTGGAATTCCTTCACCGGTCCTCTAATGTAGTAGTGGACTGAACTGTGTCCCTCCACAATTTACCTGTTGAAGCCCTGATTCCCAATGTGACTCTCTTTGAAGACAGGGCCTTCAAAGAGGTAATTAACATTAAGTAAGGTTATAAGAGTGGGGTCCTAATTCAATATGACCGGAATCCTTATAAAGAAAGGAAAAGACACCAGGGATGCCTATGCACAGAGAAAAGGCCATGTGAGAACGCAGTAAGAAGGCGACCATCTGCAAGCCAAAGAGGGAGGCCTCATAACAAACAAAACCCAACAACACCTTGATCTTGGACTTCCAGCCTCAACAACTGGGAGGAAATAAATTTCTGTTTAAGCCACCCAACCTGTGATATTTTGTTATGTCAGACTTAGCAAACATACAAATGTTCTTTTCTTTCCTCTTTCTCATCTCTTTGTCTTTTGCTCTACTTTCTGGGAAATTTCTTTGATATTATTGTCCAATCTTTTAGTTGTTTTTCATTTCTGCTATCATATTTTAAATTTTAAACAGTTTTTTTTCTGTTCTCTGAATGTTCCTTTTTCCCCTTGTTTTGAGTCATATATTCTATTTCTTATTTATCTAAATATGGTAATAATAATAACTTGGGCTTGTTGTGTTGTGTTTTTAGTTTATATCTATGTGTTTCCTCTAATCTACAATTTCATTTGCTTATTTTGGATTATATCTTTGACATTAAAGGAATTTCTCAGTTATTTGGTAATCAATCCTAGATTATCTACTTAAATTTTGGAGTGGGAAACTAAAAAATTAATTTGAAGTTCCAAGGGCCTACGCAGATTTGACCATGTAGGCCACTGAAGGATGATGAAGCCCAGCTAAGTCAGTTTCACTGGAGAGCCTTGGATTTCTCCTCTTAGGCTGGTCAGATTCCCCAGAGAAGCCTCTCCCTATTCCCCGATAGAAAACAAAGGCCTGGTTGTCACTGTTTTAAGAGTTAAATGAGGGACGAAGATCTTAGCGTCCAGTAGGCATATGTTTGGTTAATCTACCCATTTCTGTATGATATTCCTCCCTCAGCTCTGTCTGGTGTTCCTCAATGCAGAGAACCTGGTTTACCTTTATTTCATCCCTTTGGGGTAAATAAGGAGTAATTACTTGGCTGTGTGCACCTTGATATTTCTTAAACAGACTCTCAATTGGTCTTTTTTTTTCCTTCTGTCTCCTCTCCTCCTCTTCCCTCCCCTTACTTCTAGAGATCACTTCAACCACAAATTCTTGAGAGCTGAGGGAGGGGGCTTGCAGTGCAAACTGGGTAGCTTATTAGCTCTGGCTGCTTAGCTCGCAGGACTGTCCTATACCACTTGCCTTTTGTAGTGCAGATTTCAACTTGTTTTCCTGTCTTCTCTCCACTCTCCCCATCTTCATAAGTTTGAAAATCTCTAATTGTTTTAAAGCAGTTTGGGTAGGAGGCAAAAGATGTTTCTTCAGTCTATTATCTTCCCCCCAAAGTTCCCAATATGCTTTGAGTATTTGCTTAATGTTATTTTATTAAATGTTATTTTACTTTAAAAATACTTAATGTAACATTTTAAGCAAAGAATGAAAAATCCTCTGAGAAACAGGGAGAAAGCAGAAATAGGACAGTTGGAGAAATAATTATAAAAGGTAAATTTGAGGTCCAGAGATCACATTCTGAAACCCATGATTAGCAAAAGGTAAAATCTGAGAGAGGGTACAGGGGACACAAAGTCCTGGACTGCGGTGTGACAGATGTTGTATGACAGCATGCCTTACCGCTCTCACTCACTTCAACTACCTTTGGGAAAACAGGTTCAAGTGTTCTGGACTTCTTCATTTATTGCTTATTTACTGTTCAACAAAAATTGATTACTAGCCACAAGACATATTCACTTAGGCCTAAAAATACTATAAGGTGAATAAGATATAGTTATTGTCCTCATTGGAGTTCACAAATAATTAATATATAACATGGTAAGTGTTATAATCTCTTAGGCCCTATGGAAATATAGAATGACTAACCACCTGGAAATCAGTTGCCAGGAAAATAGGAGAAAAACCAAGAGGACGTAGCATCACAAAAGGAGACAGTGAATAGCAATATGAGATTCTGCCAAGAAATCAAGTGAATGAAGGCGAAGTGGCTAATGGATTTTCGGATAGAGGAGTCAGTACCTGGTCAGAGAGGTTTCAGTGAGGGTGAAATTCAGAAGCTGATGGATTGAGAAGCATATAGAAACAGATGGGAAATGTTGACAGCCTTTCACAATTTGGAGGTAGAAATATTCAGGATTAAAGATGTATTTGATTGGAAAGGGGGGTGGAGGGAGGAAGGAGAGAGTCAAGGGGGATATCTGGCGATGGAAAGAGATGTGACTTGGGATGGTGAACACACAAAACAATATATAGATGATGTATATAGAATTGTACCCCGGAAACCTACATAACTTTATTAATGAATTTAACCCCAATAAATTCAATTTTTAAAAAGATGTATTTGATATTGTTACCATTTAAAATTCAATTAAGTAATTTATTTTCATTATAGCTGATATACAATATTATATTATTTTCAGGTGTACAACATAGTGACTCAACATTTATAAAGCTTAAGATGTGATTACCACAATAAGTCTAGTAACTATTAGTTCACTGTACACAGTTATTACAATATTATTAACTATATTCCCTGTGCTGTACATTACATCCCCATGATTTATTTATTTTATAACTGCAAGTCTGTATCTCTTGTTCCCCTTCACCTTTTTCACCCATCCCCCTGACCTCTGGCAACGTTTGCTCTGTTTATGAGTCTGCTTCTGTTTTGTTTCGTTCATTTGTTTTGTCTTTTTAGATTCCACATGTAAGTGAAATCATACAGTATTTGTCTTTCTATGTTAGACTTATTTTACCTAGCATAATATCCTCTAGGTCTATCCACGTTGTCGCAAATCGGAAGATTTCATTCTTTTTCATTGCTCAGTAGTATATATGAAAGATACACACACAATCACATCTTCTTGATCCATTCATCTGTAAATCATAATGCAATGAACATAGGGGTGAACATATCTTTTCAAATGAGTGTTTTTGTTTTCGTCGGAGAGGTGGAATTGATGGGTCATATGGTAGTTCTATATTTATTTTGAGGAATCTGCATAGTTTTCCAATTTACAATCCTTCCGACAGTGCACAAAATTCCTTTTCTCCACATCCTTGTTAACACTTGTTTGTTGACTTTTTGATACTAGCCCTTCTGACAGGTGCGAGATTTAAGCTTGTTTAACTCTTCTTATGAGAGGAAAGAGCCAAAAAAGGAGTTGAAGACACAGGGCCCCTTGAGGGTGGTTGATGGGGCAAAATCTTTGTAAAAGCAAAAAAAAATAAATAAAATCAGGAACACAGACGGAAGGAATGATTTTAAACTGGAAACAGATTCCCTTATGATTAAAAAGTACATATTGCCAGTTATAAAAAGTCATGGGGGTGTAAATTGCATAGGGCAATAAGATAACAGAGGTTCAAGCATTGAGGTCTGAATGAAGGCAATCTGTGCGTGGGCGAGATTTCAGAACTTGATTTCAGAATTAGAGCGCTTTGGTGATGACCGGGTATTGCCTCCAAGAGCCATTTCTCAGTCGCTACGAAGCTAAGGCGTCTGAGCTGGTGACGGGCGAACCAGGGACTCCCGCAGTACCCAAGACCCGAGCGACAAAAGGCGCGCCGGGCGTGACCAGCGGCCCGGCGCGTGCGCAGGGTGCTCGTTGCGCCTGCGCACGGCGTTTCTGGAGCCCCTGCCGTTCCGCTGTCGGCCCGCGCAGGGTGAATGGGCTTCTGATACACCACCACCGGCGAGTAGTTGGCGGTTCCTACTCTCTGCGAGCGCCAGTGCTTTGCCGTCCCTTGCCCAGAAACCCTCCGCCTGGGCCCGCGCAGGAGGAGCGGGGCCTCTGAGGGGAGCGGCGACCTCCCCGGCCTCGGTCTCTTTCCTTGGCGGTGGCGGCGGCTTCTTCCGTAGGACAATATGTTCAAGAGAATGGCCGAATTTGGGCCTGACTCCGGCGGGAGAGTGAAGGTCAGTGCCCGGCCCGCGCCTCCCTTCCAGGAGTGGCTGTCTAGCTCCAACCCCTCCCTGCAGGGCGTGGAGAGGGCCCGCGTGTTTCCCTCTCGCGCCATCTCGCCCAGGGTTTGAACCGTGGTTTGTAGGCGGAGAGCGAGTCATTGGGCTCCAATTTGGCGGCGTCACCTACTCCCTCCCATCCCCGCCAAAAAAACAAACGTAGGAGTGACTTGGGGGAAAGCCGGACATTGTTGCCCAGGAAACGGGCCACTCCTAGGGTTAGGATACCCTGGCTTGGTGCTGGCAGCTCAGGTCATCTGTAAGCAGGGGGTGCCACCCACCTGACTGTGAGAATAACAGTAGCAAATATTTGGTAAGCGCTTCCCGCGTGCCCAGCGCAATGGCTAAAAGCATTACCAGCCTCTTAGAGTCAGTCCCTACCTCAGCCTTACAAAGGCAGTGTTACCCACGGTGTTTGCAAGTGCACTATCTGAAGAACTGGAGGTGGGGGTGTCTATCTGTTGGGGGGTGGGTGGGTAGAAGGGTCAGCAAATTTGCCGAAGTTCATGGTGTTTACAAAGCCCTAAAGCTACAGCCAAGGTGTTACTCAGGGCATGCAAAGAACATTTCCTGGCACCTGGGGAACATACTCGTTTCGCTTGTTTTTAATTAAAGTTATTTTCATAGAACCTAACATCATGTTTGACGCGGTGACACATTTCCCGCCCACTTTTTTACATCTCCTGGCATATTAATTTTGTAAGACAGGACCACCTGGTTCTCGATATAACACCTATTTTTAACCCCTTAGGATTTTTATTTGTCATAGAAAGGAAATTTTTCTTTAAAAAGAAATCAGCCACTTTTGCACAAATCTACTTAGTATAGATTGTTAGCCCTTGTCATTGTGTTCACATGATTCTGATTATATTCTGTGTTTACAACTATCATACACAGTGCTTTAATATCACATAAAGCGAGAGTTCAGAAATTTCAAAAGCTGAAATTTAATGTAAGGAGAAAGAGATGCCAGGTGAAATTCATAAAACATACAAATTTTGCCTGGGTTTTTGGGCAAGGTTTTGGACCGATAGGAAGGTTCTGCCAAAGGTTTAAAACAGATTTTGGAGAACTTACAGAACTTTCTGTAATTGTAATCATAGTAGGTTTTAAAAGTTTGTAAGTTTAAGCCCTAAGTGACTTGGGATTAGGCCTGTATCCTCAAATGCTTTTTCACAAAAAACAGGTGTGAATTAGTCATGTAAAGGTTTAAAATTAAGAGTCTTATTTCTCCTCCTTGCTGATTGTTATGTGGCCTTGTAGGCATCTTTTTCCAATTTAGATAAATTTTATCCAGGTAGAAAGTCTGTTGACAGATGAGCCCCCATTTTATCATTGAGGAACTCTGCAAGTTTCTACAACACCATAGCAGCTACGACATCTATTATCCACTCACCAAGTCAGTGCTCTTTGTACTCATTCATTCCAAGGGCTTGAACTTGAGGCCCCATCTAAGGCTGCCACAAAAGTGTCAGTAACACTGTGATTATTTGAAGTTCTCACATAAACTGCTTGCCTTCTTCTGCACTAACTTTAGGCTTAGGTGTTGGATTTGTTTGTTAACTATTCAGCTACAATTAAAAGTTTTTCTATTTGTTCACTGCTTTTCCTTATTTCTTGTGATTATTGATTACATTGGCACAGCACTTATCACATGTGGTATATCTTGCTCTTTGACTTTCAGATACATTCTTACTATTGAACAGTTGATCTGAAATTCATGTGCAACAGTCAGCATTTTGTTTTCATTTGAAATTTTTCCTCCTCTCCGTCATAATATGTCAACACTCACTGCCTTTACACTTACCAGATGTGATGAGAAACATGTATGTACATCTCAGAACTGAGCACAAATGTAGCAAACATGGCCATTGGCCAGTGTTAAACAAGTGTCAGTCATCCAAGTGCCACTTCAGCATTCATTATTTGAATCCAGTTGTAATATTTAACACTTTTATTTAGATTAATTTTTAAAAGCCTCTTCCTAAGTGTTAATATTTTTGAAATTATGGGTTTGACTTGCTAGTTACAGTTATGATTTTCTTAATACTGATTAAAGTAAATATACAAATAATAAAATGAAAAATGTTTGTCCTTGCTCTACTTAAAATACTGTTCCAACTGCTTTTAATATTTGTACTAGGCTTTGGAAACACTGCCATAAAGTAGTAAATAAAGACATTACCATTGGATGATTGCAGTCGAAGTTGGCTATTTTTTTCCAGAGCTTCACTTTAAAGTTTGTAAATAAAGAGCCTTTTGTATCTCTTTTCAGAAAAAGTCTCAAAGTACTTTTAAGTGTTTTAAATAAACATTTTTGAAGTGGGAACATTGTAATTAACCTGGTGTTTAGTTATTTGTATTAATATGAAGTGAGGATAATTCTCTAAAGTAGATTTATTGAGAGAAATCCATGATGTAGCAAAATTCAGGATTTTTAATTTTTATTTTTCAATTACAGTTGACATACAATATATTAGTTTCAATTGTACGACATAGCAATTAGACATTTTTATAACTAAGAAGTGATCATCTTGATAAATCTCATACCCATCTGACTCCATATATAGTACAATATTGTTGACTATATTCCCTATGCTCTGCTCTACATCTCTATGACTACTGATATTTTATAACTAGCAATTTGTATTTCTTAATCCTTTCCCCTTTTTCACCTATCCCACCAACCCCCTGCAGTCTGGCAGCCATCAGAATATTCTCTGTATCTGTGAGTTTGTTTACTGTTTTGTTTGTTTATTTTGGTTTTTAGATTCCACATATAGTTGAAATCATATGGTATTTGTCTTTCTCTGTCTGATTTCCCATAGCAAGTACCCTCTGACGTCCATCCATGTTGCAGGTAGCAAGATTTCATTCTTTTTTATGGCTGAGTAATATTCCATTCATCTCTTGATGGACACTTCCTTTTTTTATTCTTTTTTTTATTTAAAAAATTTTTTAAAATTTATAAATCATGTTTATTCTATTACAAACACTTGTTGTCCATTCATATATTGATGGACACTTCCATATCTTGGTTATTTTTAATAATGCCGCAATGAACACATGGATACACATCGCTTTTCAAATTAGTGTTTTTGGTTTCTTCAAATAAATTCCCAGTGGTGGTACTGCTGGGTCCTTTTTTGTTTCTTGTTAATAGGCTTTGTTTTAAAGTCTATTTTGCCTGGTATTAAGTATTGCTGCCCCAGCTTTTTTGTTTGTTTCCATTTTCATGAAGTATATTATCCCTTTGCTACCAGTCTGTGTATCTTTTGTTCTGAAGTGAGTCCCTTGCATGCCTGCCATTTCTTTAAACAAGCTCTCAGAACTCTTATTCTGTTTATTTGGGTAATGATACAATATTAATTGGCGTTTACATTATTTTTCTTTTAGGGGGTTACTATTGTTAAACCAATAGTTTATGGCAATGTTGCTCGATATTTTGGGAAGAAAAGAGAAGAGGATGGGCATACCCACCAGTGGACAGTATATGTAAAACCATACAGAAATGAGGTATGCACTGTTTTTCCCTATAACTTTTTTTGAAGCTACAGTTTGTTTTGCTTGAAGGTAAATTGTAACATTATTTTGTTATGACTTTTCTGATTATAAAACTGGTCCTTATTAGAAATGTTACAGCCCAGAAGTTGAAAGAATAAAGTGAGAGCTGTCATCTTCATGTAATTGTTGAGTAGAAATCAATTTTCCAAAAATGTTCTCTAATTAAAATTAAGGTACACTAACAAGAGCTATGCTATGAACACAGCACACCTTCCAATCACCATGTCTTAAAGTTAGCCTAGTATTTACTCAGATGTTTCAGGAATAGTAGTTGCCATATTTTGCCATGTATAATATTTTAGTGCTAATTCCCATGTATAATTTGCATTATACAAGTTATGTGAATTAACACTACCCATGTATAATGCGCATCCTTATTTTTCCCTCAAAAATTTGGGCAAGAAAGTACACATTATACATGGTGAAATACGGTAATTTTTAAGCAATAAATTGGTAACCATCAGAAAAGATGAATGAAAGACAAAAACTGCTGTATAACCTAAGAGCTGGTAATTTTGTTCTGTTACTGAATCTTTAATGTCTGGCATGCAGCCAGTACATAGTAGGTATTCAGCAGATTTATTCAGTGAATAAACAGTTCCTCTATTTAAACCCTTCAAAGTTCACACAAAAACTTATATATGAATGTCCATAGCAGCATTATTCATAATAGCCAAAAAGAATGGAAACAACTTATATGTCTCTCAGCTGATGAATAAGTAAAATGTGGTATATCCATACTATGAACTACTATTAGGCAATAAAAAGAAATCAAGTATTGATACATGCTATTCATGCTGCTACCACATGTAGAAATTTAAAACATTATGGTAAGAGAAAAAGGCCAGACATAAAGGCCACATATTGTGTGATTAAAAATGTTCTGAAATTGATTATGGTGATGGTTGTACAACTCTGTAAATATACTAAAAACCATTGGATAGTACATTTTAAATGGGTGAATTATTTGGTATATGAATATCTCAAAAAAGCTGTTATTTAAAAAAACAAACCTTCAATGACTATCTATTGCCCTCATAATGTTAAAATTATCTTATGGGGACTGGGTGAAAGAAGGTGAAGGGATTGGCCAAAGAATGAATATATATATATATATATATATATATATATATATATATATATATATATAGAGCCCATGGACACAGATGACAGTGTGGTGCTGGCCTGAGGGAAGGGGGAGAAGGGGCTGGGGGGAGAGGGGCAAAGTAGGGGGGAGTGGAGACATCTGCAATCGTGTCAACAATAAAAGTAAAGGGGGAAAAAAACTCATTTTAGAAGGTTTTTCCTTGTCCTATCTCTGCAGCGTTATACCTTATTTGTGTTTGCCTCGTCATTCCCTTATACCCTACATTCTACCAATGCTAAATTACTCTCAATTTCCCAAAGGGGTACTCTTAAACCCCTTCATTCATTCATTTCCACTTGCCCTATGCTTACTGTTCCCTTAGTCTTAGTTCAAGTGCATTTTCTTGAGAACTACTTTCTTGATCTGCAAAGGCTGTTAGTTAGGTTCCCTTCCTATGGTCTTGTACCTTGTGCTCTTATAACACAGATTACACTGAAATGCTGTTCTTGTCTGCCCCCTAATCCACAGAGAGATCCTGAGGGCAGGACTCATTATTAGTTACCGTCATGGCATCTGGTACTCAGTATTGGTAGTCACTCATGTTTGTAGGGGAAAAAAGAATGAAAGTATTTCCAAGAGTCTTCAAAGATACTTAAGAACACCTGCCTCAAAAAAATGTTCATAATATAATGTTAAGTAATGAAAGCTGATATTAATGTATCATTATAGTATGATTGCAATTTAAAAATACACATGTAAAAAATAAAATTTGAATAAAATAAACTAAAATTTGAAAATATACATGTAGATTATAAGCACAAAAAAAATTCCTGAAAGCAAATAGAAAGATTAATACATATTACTATTGAGTGTGGCTTACTCTGTTTTGCATTTTTCTATTTTTCTATAATGAAGTATTTTTGAAAAAGCCACAGTCACTAAGAGAATCCCTTTTATGTGTCAGCTTATGAGTATGTTTCTGTGCATCAAATTAAAATGAAGAAACAGGAGTTTTGTATCCAACAGTTTTAGGTTGCTTAGTGTAGTTGACCTTGGTTTTATATAACATAATTTTGTTCTTTAAAGTTGCTTAGTTCTTAAATTTGCTTTGGTTTATGGGGTTATTTCTATTATGAAAAATCAGAATTGATTTAGAGTAATAGCTATAGAAAAATATATAAAAATGATTTACAAAACAAGTGAATTGATATGTATATTTGTATATATTGTGAATTATGAAAGACTTCAACACAGGCTTCCTTGTTTAAAATAAAAAACAAACCACCCAGGTACAATTCATGTTTTTTAGAAAATTGGATTCCATAATATTTGAGGGGAAGTGTATTTTATAAAATTAGATATGCATGCTCAGTGTATTTCCCTCCTAGTTTTTATATGTAGATGGCCGAACTAATGAATTCCTCTGTATTTTAGGACATGTCAGCATATGTGAAGAAAATTCAATTTAAATTACATGAAAGCTATGGCAATCCTTTAAGAGGTACAGTATAGTTTCTTCATTTATTACACACAAATTTAAAAAGAGCTAGGAAACAGCATCAGTAATTTACATTCATAATTGTTTTATTCCTTCTCTTTTTCAGTTGTTACTAAGCCTCCATATGAAATTACTGAAACAGGATGGGGTGAATTTGAAATAATCATCAAAATATTTTTCATTGATCCTAATGAAAGACCTGTGAGTAATGGTAATCTTTGTAAATATAAAATAGATTTTTTTCGTAATTGTGAAAATGCAGCTATACTTAAGAGCTCATTATATGTTGACATTTTTATTTAGATATACTTTATGTATGCTTATAATATGGTATATCTTGCCATGAGTTAAGATTTTTCACTTTTAAGTGATATGCCTTCCAAAATTTGTATTTTTCGATATAGGCATAAGGAATACAATGTGAACATTTATTGGACATGAACATCATATGATTACAGCAAAAATTTTAAATTCATTAGTTTTATTTGGTTGTTAGTAATGAACAGGTTGAGGCCATATGCTGTCTGAATTGGTAATATCCAGTTTTTTTAATAGTTAAAAGCCCTAAACAGTGTTTTTTTTGTTTTTCAAGCTGCCATCAGTACTAACAGCTTTACTTTATATCTTATTCATGAGTCCTTGTTGGTAACCACTGACTTTTTCATCATTTGATCTCTTCCTATCAGATTGTTGCTTGACAATGTAAAAAGTCCCTCAAAGTTTTCACTTTGATGCCTCAGCAACTTTGTGAGGTTGGTAATATCCTCATTTTAGATACGAGAATACTGAGGCTCAGAGTTCAAGTCACAAGCTCAAAAACACAGTTGTAGCAGAGCTAGTTCTGAACCCAAGTATTTATGTCTAGACTCAACACTCTTTCCATTATACTTCCTTTTGACTAAAACCACTATGCCTTTTTCATTTTTAACCCATAGAGTCACAGCTCGGTTATGGCTCTCATTTCCCATTTGTGTGGCTGTTGTGTAATTCGTTTCAAGTCTTTACAGTCATCACTGTTAATTTTCATCTTCATAGGTTCATACTCATTCCTTCAGCACCAAACATTTAACTTTAATGATCAGATTACACTTTTAAAACTTTATGTGCTTTTAAAGGACATGAATATCACCTGGGCCCAGGGATTCAAAGAATTAGTTTCTAACTGACTGCATCAGAAGTACTTAGGTGTTTTTTAAAAATTCAAACTAATAGGACCAATCCCCTGGCGAGTCTGATTCAGTAGGTTTGGAGAAGGACCAGCACCTCAGGTAATTTTGATGCACAGTAAGATTTAGAACCCGTTGAGGTAGGCCGTACTGTTAACTAGGTAGGAATTCCTTTAGGCCATCTCTCAAGTGAGAATCTCCTTTGCATTTGCCATCTTTCAAGTGAGAATCTCCTTTGCATTTGCCAACTTTAGTGTGGAGAACATTGACTTCTCTCATTAAGTGAAACATCCTGTTCGGGTTTGGGGTAGTTTTAATTTTAAGAAGGCTCTACTTTATTTTAAGCTTCCTTGAGTTTTTTATTGATAACTATTTATACATTAGTTTTATTTTCTCCCAAATAAAACACCTATAGGTCATTTAAATATTTTCCATGTGATAGAGGTTTCCAGATCTCCTACCATTCTTGTTATCTTTCTAGAATACTCTCACAACCTTTACATTTTATTTGGCAAGAAATTCCTAAATATTATTTGCCAGATATTGTTCAAATATCATGATACAAAGGTAAGTCATTAATGAAAATAGTCTGTAAGGGAGAATAGAGCACAGAAATCAGCAGATACCGTATTTTGCAATGTATAATGCACATTTTTTTGCCCAAATTTTTTAGGGAAAAATACGGATGGATGCACATTATACATGAGTAGTACTAATTCTGTATCTATTTAAATGTTTTTATTTCTTTTATTTATGCTTATGTGTTAAAAGTGTAATTCTAGAAAACAATAATATCTGTATGCAAAATAATACCCTGGAATACAATAATTGGTTTTGTTTCTAAATATTAATAAATAAATAATTGAATTTATAAATTAAAATAAAAGCTCTTTTTTTCCTGAAAGTTTGGGCCAAAACATGGGTGTGTATTATACATGGCAAAATATGGTATTGAGAGAGAAAGTGATGTTTGTTATAAGAACAGAAACTCTTTCTAACTTTGTAGGATTGCTTTGAATTGATTTTTATTTTGAGAACGTGTGGGCTTACCTGTCTGTCTCCTCATCTGTCGTCCCCTCCTACCCCAGTTGGGAAGTACACCTCTGAAAGAAGTCTTTATATCATGTAATTTCATTATAGGCTAGTTCTCCAAGTCCACTCTTGGAAAAGTAAGGTAGTAGGATCTTTTGTACTTCTGCAGTGATTCATTTATTAAATAGGTTTCTGTGCAGAACTACATAGGCCTGATTTTATTCCCCCAAAACTGTTGTAGTGTTCTTTTAGTTAAGTGAAACCATTATACTTTTTCAATAGTTGTCTCTGGCAGAAAATAAGTTATGTGAAGGTTTATTTAAAGTATAAAAGAAAGCCCTGGCTGGTGTGGCTCAGCGGATTGAGCGCTGGCCTGCAAACCAAAGGGTCGCAGATTCGATTCCCAGTCAGGGCACAGGCCTGGGTTGCAGGCCAGGTGCCCAGTAGAGGCATGCGAGAGGCAACCACACATTGATGTTTATCTCCCTCTCTTTCTCTCTCCCTGCCCCTCTGTCTAAAAATAAATAAATATTTTTTAAAAAAATATAAAAGAAAGACACGGATAGCTTGTGATTTACTTCTGTTATCCAATAACCTATCATAGACCAAGGCATTGAAAAAGGAATGGTTGTTTCTAAAAACAAAAGGCTAAAATTGGGTTTTTATGCCTAGAAATTTTGTTACCTGACAGCCTCATGCTGTTCTAGAACAGTCAGCGAGGTTCTATTGCCTGCTGCTTAGAGGCCTAACTCTGAAGGCAGGAGTTTGGTGAAAAGGAAAGGGCTCGTTTATTTAACGGTTATATAGTTTTGGAATGGTGGTAGGTTTCTGCCTCAGGGCCCTATTACCTTTAAAATACCCGAAGACAAACAGCCCTGCCACCCTCCGCCAGTTCACGAATGCGCCTGAAATCCCTTTTCCACTCCTAAAAGTACCGTCCTTTATGAAGCGTAGATAACTGCATTGGATTATCCAGGCGGCTTGGCAGGTTCCCGGTCATAGTCCTGCTAGCGCTGCTGCTTTCTGTGCGGGAGGCATGCAGGGCCTCGGAGCCTGGCCAGCAGTCTCCAAGGGAACCCTCGGGTCTCCGACGCAGGCCCCCTGTGGCCGCCCAGGCTGGCCAGGGGAGGAGAAAGAGAGCATACGTCTTGGCACGTTCCATTTTAAAGACTCGGCCCAGAAATCCCTGTGCAACGCAACATCTGGCTTTTTAACCGAGTGCCCTAATATTCGCCATGTTTGCATCTTGCCCTCTTCTGGCCACCATTTTGCGCACAGGGACAGAAGTCTTAAACCATGCATGCTCTTTGCGAGCTTCCTTCTGTTGAGTCATGAGCTGCTCGGCTGCCTTGGCTGGGCTGGTTCAAGATGCTCTCGTTTATAGTTGCCTTGGACAATATCCCTTTTCCGACAGCCCCTCCCTTCACAGATTGGGTTTCAATCTTCAATTCTGCCTTGGGGGTTCTCTCCCCGCCCCCTGTCCTCTACCAGGGACTGGCGAGACTACAGTGTCTCTGTAGCAATTATAGGCATTCCATTGCTCTAAGAATCAGCAAACGCAGCTCAAAATTGGAGACATCTGTCTTGAAATTTTTCATTGCCTATATCTGTATGAATGCCTCCAGGTAGTCTAATAAATTTAGGGGAGGACAGTTTTATGATGTAGTTTTAAATTTTTCTTGTATTATAAAAGTCAAACATGCACATGCTTCCCTGCCCCTGCCATCCGCCATGCTCTATCCATTGAGTCCAGACAGAGGAAGGGAGACAGAGAAACTTCAGTCTGTTGCCTCCTGAACATGCCCTGACAGGGGACCTAACCCTCAACATAAACATGTGCCCTGACTGGGACTTGAACCCATGACTTCAGCTTTACTAGGCAAAGCTCCATCCAACTGAGCCACACCAGCCAGGGCGAACAGGCACATGATTTTTTAAGTCTCTAAAAATAAAAAGTACAAGTCTTCTGTATTAGTTTCCTAGGGTTTCCATAACAAAGTACCACAGTCTGAGTGGCTAGACAACAAAAATTTATTCTCACAGGTCTAGAAGCTACAAGTTCAGAATCAAGGTCTTGGACATGCTCTCTTCAGAGCCTCTAGGGGAGGATCCTTTCTTGCCTTTTCTAGTTCCTGGTAGGCCCAGGGATCCTCAGCTTGCAGCAGCGTAATTTCATTCTCCACCTTCATTGTCACAGGGCCTTTCTCTGTGTCTCTTCTTATGAGGACATTAGTCATATTGGATCAGGGCACACCCTAAGGACTTCATCTTAATTTGATTACATCTGCAAAGACCCTATCTCCAGGTTTCCAGATAAGGTAAAATCCACAGGTACTGAGGGTTAGGACTTCAACATCTTGTTGGGGAACACAGTTCAACCCATAACATCCCTTTTACCCCCATTATCTGGCCCTTTCCCCAGGAAATCCGTAGTTACTCTTTTCTATTTCTCTAGAAATTATCCCCATGCATTTCATATATTTAAATCCCTAAGTTTGAATTTTTTTATTTTTAGGTAGTGCCTGTCAACACCTAATGATGACAGATGACCCTTTTTCTTCATCTTTTCAGGTTTCTTAACCCAGAGATGTGCCCTGACTGGGAATTGAACCAGCAAGTGTTTGGTTCTCAGGCCAGCGCCCAATCCACTGAGCCACACCAGGCAGGGCTGCCAGCTGGGCTTTATTTAGCCCAAGTAATCACACACTGTGCTGCAAAACTTTTCCTTTGGTATCTTACTACACCTGTTTTAAGTATTTTGAAAAGGTGTTGCTCTTTCCAAAGTGAATGATCATTGACTTTTTGTTACTTACATAATAACCTTACAGATCATGAAAGAAATTACCTTGCCCTCACTGAGCATTTGAAAGTCTCAAATCTATTTTCCCATAGTAAATTCATAAACTTTAGTCTTCACAGAAAAACTGTCACATAATCTAATTTCACTTGTGTTAGTAGACTGTCTTTTAAAAAAATCTTATGTCTTAGTGATTTCCCAGTTTAATTTACATAGCTGTATCTTACGTTGTTTTTATATATAGTTACTCTCTAGACATACTTTGTAACAGACTCTTACCTACCTTCTTCAAAACATTCATGGTTAGGTGGCTCTCTCTGCAGACCATGCCCGCGCCTTTTCCCACCCTCTTCCCCCAGAAGGTTTTTCCATGCCTCTCTTTTCTAAGCTCCCAGGGCCTTTCTTTTGCTTCTATAACTTGTTTCCTGAGCTCTTTTTCTTTTCTGAAAGTCACTTCTACCTCCATGACTTTCCAAATAAACTTTCTCTTATTTAAAAAAAAATCATGTTTAGATGTGGATGGATTGTGATATGTAATAGTAAAATAAAAGTACAGCGAGTTTGGGTGATTTCCCTCAGATAATTGTGGTTGAGACAAGGTCCTGAATTTAGTATATTTACTAATACCAGTCTCTAATTCAGTTATAGAAATGACAGTGTTTCACAGTGATGAAGGTAACCATTGCACAATGTGTGATATCTGTTTTTATTTCACAGGTAACCCTGTACCATTTATTAAAGCTGTTTCAATCAGACACCAATGCAATGCTGGGAAAAAAGACAGTGGTTTCAGAGTTCTATGATGAAATGGTAAGAAGATTTTGTAACGAGTGTTCTAAAAGCATTTTAAATTGTAGAACTTTGACGTTATTGGGCCTTTTTCCATTTTATCTTATTAGATTTTTCAAGACCCAACAGCAATGATGCAACAATTACTAACAACATCTCGTCAGCTAACATTAGGAGCCTATAAACATGAAACAGAATGTAAGTGTGATGAGTTCATAATTAATACTGAAAAATACTGTGTTATGTAATGATCAAATGGTTGATTAGTAACTTTTAAATTTTTTTCTAATGCTATATGTACACATAAAATTTTCAGGAGTTAAAAAATAGGCTATGTATTACTATAGAACATGTAAGGAGGCTATTATAAGTTGTTCCCAAAGTAGGCCTACTTTCAAAAAGGTAAAAGACAGCTGCTCACAGTCTCTAAAATACTGTTTGTATTTTGTTCCCTAATTACACTTTTGTGTTCTGTGATCTTTTTCTCTTTTTCAACCTGTCATTTATTTAATTTCAGATTAATGCTAAGGTGGGAAATGCCAGAATGCCACAATGAAGCCAGTCGTAGTATATTCTCCCTCTAAGCTGACATGGCCTCAGAATACCCTACACGTCACTCCATGCAGCTTTTGCCCATCATTTGAAGTTGCCACTCAAGATGAAAGCTATTTGTCATCCTTTGTAAACATTTATGTCACTGTTCATTTGCCCACAATACAAGGGAGGATCCCACCAAAACCGGAATTTATTTATAAAAAATTGTGTATTTATTCTTACATGTTTAAACTTCGAACACCTTCCATAGTGCTCTCTATTTGATGCAATACACCTATCAAGACTTTTTCCCACTGCTCAAAACAGTTTTGGAATGCGTCAATTTTGATGCCTTTTAGTGCTTCTGCCGTTTTTTTGTTTCACCTCTTCCACACTGGCAAAACATTTCACTAAGAGGACTTTTTTCATAAGGGGGAATGTTTTGGGGAAACAAAAATAAAGTCACTCAGGGTGCGGATCAGGTGAATAGGGAGCTTGGGGCCTGAGGGTCATGCTGTTTTAGGTCACACACAGCTGAACACTCAGCATGGTGTGCGCAGATATAACCGTAAATGACCCATCATGAAATGAACAAATGCATCGAAAGAGTCTCCAAAAAAAGTCACTGAAGCCAAACACAGCCTCTCACAACAATGCCAACTGGTGCACTGACACAGATGGGTTCCTAGAACACTCACCTAGTGGGGGAAGCCTGTACTACAAGGGGCCCGCCCTCCAGACCATAATTCTGGTTGGGGGCGGATGCGGGGAGGAGGTGGGGGGGGTGTGTGTGTGTGTGTCCTAATATATATTGATTACCAGTTATATGCTAGGCATTGTTCAAGGTTCTGAGGTTGGAGCAGTGTCAAACCAGACAAAAAAGGTCTAGTTTTATGGAGCTTACATTCTAGTGGGAGGAAGACATTTGATAAAGTGAAAGGTAGTGATTGGATGTCATGGAGACAAGTAAAACAGGGAAGGAAGAAGGTCGCAGAAGGCTTCCTGAGGTTGTAGCATTTGAATGAATACCTGAAGGGGTAAGAAAGCAAGCCCTGGAGCTTTCTGAGATAAGAATGTTATCTGTAGAAGGAGCAGCAAGGGCAAAAGCCCGGAGGTGGGCGTGTGCTGGGCATGTCGGAAGCAGCTAGGAGGCCAGTGAGACTAGAGTGAACAAGGCTAGAGAAGTTAACAGGGGACCAGTTCATATAGAAACTTGTGGGTAACTGTGAGCACTTGTAAGGGGGGGTAAAGGACATGTAAAGTCATTTGTGGGTTTTGAGCAGAAGAGTGAAAATATAAGACTAACATCTTTAAAAGATCAATTATCCTGGCTGCTGTGTTGAGAATAGACTGTAAAGCAGAAAAGGAAGAAGCAGAGGCTGTTCCAATAATCTAGATGATAGGACAGTGGGTGGTACCAGAGTGAGCAGTTTAGAGGGGTGAGAAGGGGTCAGATTCTGAATCTATTTCGAAGATAGATCTTTTTGGAAAAGAAAAAAAAAAGATGTAAGAGAAAAAGATCAACAAAGAATGACTCTTAAGGTTTCAGGCCTAAGAAACCAAAAAATTGTCATTGCTTTCTGTAGGGATGGGGGAAATCTGGGAGGGGCAGGCTTGTGGAAAAAATTAATTCAGAGTGCAATTTTGGACATGTTGGATGAAAGATGCCTCTGTGACATCTAAGTGGTTACATTGAGAAGGCAACTGCACCCAAAAGTCTGGTATTCAAGGAGAGGTCTAAGTTGAAGATAAAAATTTGGAAGTTAATAAATAGATGGATTTATAAACTGTGAGACCCAAAAATATCATCAAAGGAGTGAGTGAAGATAGAAGGCCAAGGACTGATCCATGAGCACTGCAACATTTAGAGATCTAACATGATCAGCAAAGGAAATTAAAAAAACAGTGTGGAGGAAGAAAACCCAGGTGCCTGTAAGGTCCTAAAGCAAAGTGTTGAAAGTGTATCAAGAAGTAATTAGCCACGTCCAGTACTGCTGATAGGTCAGGTCAGATGAGGGCCAAGAAATGGGCTATAGCAAGGTGGAGGTCCTGGATGACCTCAACGGGAGCAGTCAGAGAGAGTGGTAAGGACAGAAGGTGGTTGAAGTGGGTCAAGAGCTAAACTGGAAACATTTGGAGTGATAGCAGAAGCAGGATATATGGTCCAGAGGGTCGTGTTTTGGGGGGAAATAAGGCAGTATATTTATAGTAAAAGAAAGATGCGGTAAAAGGATGGGTATGGGGTGAGAATGCAGTGGAGAAGGGAGTTGCTATTTAACCATTAATGGTTACAGTAGTGTTATATTTTTATGGAACCGATGACGAGAAGTTAAAAGGCCCGAATACTAATTTTAATTTTACCACTTGATAGTCATTTAAAATCATATTTAAAATTTTCATGCTTCACTTTTCTGCATTTGCTTATTTTGTTATGAACATAAAACATACATATATATGATTACTTTGAAAAGATAAAAAAGCGCCTAATATGCTATTTTTAATAATGTTTTATTGTTTATGCTGTTAACTGTTGTCACAGTTTTTCCCCCTTCGTCCCCCTCCGCCAGCCCATCCCCCTACTTCCGTAGTCCATCCTCACACTGTTGTATATTTCCATTAGTCCTTCATATATATTCTTTGATTAACCCCTTCACTTTCTTTCAGACAGTCTCCACCTCCCCCGTCCGTCTTACAGCTGTCAGTCTATTCCATAATTCTATGCCTCTGGTTCTCTTTTGCTTTTTAGTTTATTTTGTTCATTAGCTTACTCTTATAAGTGAGAACACATGGTGTTTGTCTTCCACTGATTGGCTTATTTCATTTAGCATAATAGTCTCCAGTTCAATCCCTGCTGTCGCAAAGGTCATTGTTCCTTTCTTTCTTTCTGCTGCATAGTATTCCATTGTGCAAATATACCACAGTTTTTTAATCCACTCATCTACTGATGGACAATTAGGCTGTTTCCAACTCTTGCCTATTGTAAATAGCGCTGCTATGAACATAGAGGTGCATACATTTTTTTGAATTGGTGTTTTGGGAATCTTAGGGTATATTCCCAGCAGTGAAATCGCTGAGTCAAAGGGTAGCTCCATTTTTAATTTTTTGAGGAAATGCCATACTGTTTTCCACAGTGACTACACTAGCCTGCATTCCCTCCAACAGTGTACTAGGATTCCATTTTCTCTAAATCCTTGCCAGTACTTCTTGTTTGTCGATTTATTAATGATAGCCATTCTGACAGGTGTGCAGTGATATCTCATTGTGGCTTTAATTTACGTCTCTCTGATGGCTGGTGAAGTAGAGCATTTTTTCATATGTCTATGGGCCATCTGTATGTCCTTCTTGGAGAAGTGTCTATTCAGGTCCTCTGCCCCTTTTTTTAATTGGATTGTTTGTCTTATGGTGTTGAGTGATATGAATTCTTTATATATTTTAGAGATTAAACCCTTGTGCTGTGTATCATTGACAAATACATTCTCTCATACAGTGAGTTCCCTTTTCATATTTATGATGGTTTCTTTAGCCATGCACAAGCTTTGTAATTTGATGTAGACCCATTTGTTTATTTTTTTCTTCATTCCCCTTGCCCTAGGGGATATATCAGCAAAAATATTCCTACATGAGATATCTGAAATTTTACTGCCTCTATTTTCTGCAAGTATTTTTATGGTATCATGACTTATATTTAAGTCTATTATCCATTTTGAGTTTATTCTGGTATATGGTGTAAGCTGGTGGTCTAGTTTCATTTTTTTGCAAGTACCAGTCCAGTTTTCCCAACACTGTTTTTACTCCATTGTATGTTTGTGCCCTCTTTGTCAAATATTAATTGCCCATAGAGACATGGGCAATTAATGGGTTTATTTCTGGGCTCTCTTATTTTGTTCCATTGATCTATGTGTCTGTTCTTATGCCAGTACCATAGTGTTTTGATTACCATGGCCTTGTAGTATAGTTGGATATCAGATATTGTGCTCTCTCTGACCTTGTTGTTCTTTCTTAAGATTGCTAAGGTTATTTGGGGGTCTTTTTTTGTTCCATATAAACTTTTGGAATATTTGTTCTAGATCTGTGAAATACGCTATTGGTATTTTTATGGGAATTGTATTGAATCTATAGATTGCTTTGGATAGTAGGAACATTTTAATGATGTTAATTTCTTCCAATCCATCAACAGGGTATATGGTTCCATTCATTTGTATTTCCTCAGTTTCTTTCATCAGTATTCTATAGTTTTCCGAGTACAGGTCTTTTACCTCCTTGGTTAAATTTATTCCTAGGTACTTTATTTTTTTTCTTGCTGTAGTATATGTGACTTTCTTTTCTTGGTTTCTCTTTCTGTTCACTGTTGGTGTACAAAAATGCCATCAATTTCTGAATATTGATTTTATATCCTACTACTTTGCCAAATTCACTTATTAGGTAGTTTTTTGGTGGAGCCTATAGGGTTATCTATGACTACTATCATGTTGTCTGCAAATAATGACAATTTTACTTCCTCCTTTCCAATTTAGATGCCTTTTATATCTTCTTGTCTGATTGCTGTGGTTAGAACTTACAGTACTAGGCTGAATAAAATGGTGAAAGTAGACACCCTTGTCTTGTTCCTGATCTGTTGGAAACACTTCTAGCTTTTGCCCATTGAGTATGATGTTGACAGTAGG